GCCCATTCCTGATAATGAACTTGATGTCTATAACTATCCGGGAGCCTTCATCCTGGGACTGATGGAAGCAGAGGCAAACACACAACTAAGCACTGAACTGAACCCAAGGAACCCAGTGACAGAGAGAGAGGAGTGATGAGCAAATTGGCAAGGAATGGGCTGGCAAAACCAGCAGAGACGGCTGATCTGAACAGGGGAGTGCTCTTGGACCCCAGACCGACAGTGGGGAGGCCAGAATGGGACTGATCTGGACCCCCCAAATGTGAGTGTCAGTGAGAAGGCCTGGGCAACCTATGGGGCTCTGAGCTGTGGATCAGTGTCTATCCCTGGTATACAATCTGTCTTCATGTGCCTATGGCACAAAGAGAGATGCTCTCTCAGCCTGGACTCTTAGGGGAGTGCCTTGACCCTACCAAGAGTGAAATGATAGACTCTAGACATCCCCTATGTGGAGGGATTTGGCAATAGGGTGGGAGGGAGGGTGGAAGGGGAGTGCGGGAGGAGGGGAGGGAGAGGGAACTGGGATTGACATGTGAAACAAGCTATTTAAAATTAAAATAAAAAATGATTAAAAAAAAAAAAAAAAAGAAAGGTCTGAAGGGTGAGTGTGGCTTCCAGTTTCTCTAAACCACTTTCTTCCCTTTGACATGTTCTCAAGGCACTTGGGGTCCAGAGCTTCCAGAAAAGATCATGGCTGAGCCCAGTGACAACTCTCTGAGGATTGTTCTGGTAGGGAAAACAGAAAGTGGGAAAAGTGCCACAGCAAACACTATCCTGGGGCAGAAGACATTTGCTTCTAGAATTGCACCCCATGCTGTCACTAAGAACTGTCAGAGAGCATCCCGCAAGTGGAAGGAGAGAGAGCTCCTGGTTGTGGACACCCCAGGGCTCTTTGACACCAGAGTGAAGCTGGAAACCACCTGCATTGAAGTCAGCCGGTGTGTCCTCTACTCCTGCCCTGGGCCTCACGCCATCATCCTGGTACTGCAGCTGGGTCGCTACACAGAGGAAGAGCAAGAAACTGTCATTAGGATCAAGGCTATCTTTGGGGAGGCGGCCATGAAGTACATGGTTGTCTTGTTCACCCGCAAAGACGAGCTGGAGGACCAGACCCTAGGTGACTTCATAGCAGACTCAGATACAAACCTAAAAAGCATCATCAAGGAGTGTGACGGCCGCTGCCTGGCCATCAACAACAAAGCAGAGAAGGCCGAGAGGGATATGCAGGTGCAGGAGCTGGAGGAGCTGGTAGAAGCTATGGTGCAGAAAAACGGTGGGGTCTACTTCTCTGACGCCATATACAAGGATGCGGAGCAAAGGCTGAAGAAAGAAGAGGAGATCCTGAGGAAACTTTACACTCATCAAAAAGAGAATGAGATTAGAATAGTAGAGGAAGAGAATGCTCTTGGAAAACTTAGTACTCAGGAAAAAGAGGGCCTAATACAAGCAACTAAGGAAAGATATGACAAAAAGATAAGACAAGAAGCAGAGGATAACATATTTAGCCAGATTGTTGAAGGAGTTAAGAAAATCCTTTTGAAAATTTGGCACGTGGTGGTGGCACACACCTCTAATCCCAGCACTTGTGAGGCAAAGGCAAACGGATCTCTGTGAGTTTGAGGCCAGCCTAGTCTACAGAGCGAGTTCCACGACAGGTGCTAAAGCTACAAAGAAACCCTACCTTAAAAAGAAAGAAAGAAAGGAAAGGAAATGTTGCATTTTCCATAAGTAGTCTGTACATATATATATATATATATATATATATATATATATATTTTTATTTCATTCATTCTGAGCATTTCTCCATCTCATTCCCTACCATTCTCCCTGCTGGCCCTTTCCTACAGTCACCAACAAACTTAAGAGATAGCAGAAGTGGGAATTCACTGAACCAGAGTCAAGACTCAGTGTCAGGCTCCAAGACCAGGTCTCTCATTCCACACTCAGCCCCCTGTGCTAGCTTGTCCTGTCTTACCCATGCTGATGGATCGGAGCGCCTCTGTAACCATGAGACCAAATAAACACCTCCTGTGAGATGTTTGTCACACTAACAGAAAAGTCAAAACACAGTCCCTTACCAATTTGTTTTATTATTATTATTATTATTTATTTTTAAGTTTAAATTTAGATTAGAAACAAGGGTGCTCCACAAGTCAGTTCCAGGTCCCTCTCGATTTCCCTCCCCTCCTCCCGTGCCCTCCCCCCAACCTCCCAATATCCCCTCATTTCCCCAGGGAGGGTGAGGTCCTCCATGAGGGTGTCCACAGTCTGTTATTTCATCCAGAGTAGGGCCCAGACCCTCCCCCAAGAGTTCAGGGTGAGAGTGCATCTCACATTGTTGGATGGGAGTCTAAAGTCCATGTGTATACTCGGGATGAATACTGATCTACTGCCCAAGGCTCAATAGATTACCTAGGCCTCCTCACTGACACCCCCAGTCAGGGGTTCTTGATCAGTCCCATGCTGGATTCCTAGGCATCAGCCTGGGATTCAAGAGTTAACCCTTGTCAGGTCAGCTGTTTCTGGAGGTTAAACCAGCCCAGTCTTAATCCCCTTGGTCATCAGTCCTCCCTCTCTGTTACTGGCTTTCTTGAGTTCAGCTCAGTGCTTAGCTGTGGGAGTCTGCCTCTTCTTCCATCAGTTTCAGAAGGTCCCATTTAATAATTATTGCCTCACTGTCTGTGCTACTGGTTTTATGTTCAGGAAGTTGGCTCCTGTACCAATTCGTTCAAGGGTACCACCCACTTTCTCTTCTAAGAGGTTCAGTGTGGCTGGATTTATGTTGAGGCCTTTGATCCATTTGGACTTAAGTTTTGTGCATGGCGATAAACATGGATCGATCCGCATTCTTCTACATGTCAGCCTCCAGTTATGCCAGCACCATTTGTTGAAGATGCTTTCTTTATTCCATTGTATATTTTTAGCTTCTTTGTCAAAGATCAGATATTCATATGTGTGTGGGTTAATATCAGGGTTTTCAATTTGATTCCATTGGTCTACCTGTCTATTTTTGTGCTAATACCAAGCTGTTTTCAGGACTATAGCTCTATAATAGAGCTTGAAGTCAGGGATGGTGATGCCTCCAGACGTTGCCTTGTTGAACAGGGTTGTTTTGGCTATACTGGGTCTTTTGTTTATCCATACAAAATTGACTATTGTTCCTCCAAGGTCTGTGAAGAATTGTGCTGGGATTTTAATGGGGATTGCATTGAATCTGTAGATTGCTTTTGGCAGGATTGCCATTTTTACTACATTGATCCTACCTATCTAAGAGCATGGGAAATCTTTCCATTTTCTGAGGGCTTCTTTAATTTCTTTCTTTAAAGATTCAATGTTCTTGCGATACACGTCTTTCACTTGCTTGGTTAGCGTTACCCCAAGGTATTCTATGTTGTTTGTGGCAATTGTAAAGGGTGATGTTTCTCTGATTTCTTTCTCAGCCCTTTTATCATCTGCATATAGTAGGGCTACTGATTTTCTTGAGTTGATCCTGTAGCCTGCCACTTTGCTGAAGGTGTTAATCAACTGTAAGTGTTGCCTGATAGAGTTCTTTGGGTCATTTATGTAAACTATCATATCATCTACAAATGGTGAAAGTTTGACCTCTTCCTTCCCAATTTGTATCCCCTTGATCCCCTCTTGTTGTCATATGGCAATGGCTAGAACTGAAAGTACAATGTTGAAAAGGTATGGAGAGAGTGGACAGCCTTGTCTTGTTCCTGATTTTAGAGGAATTACATTGAGTTTCTGTCCATTTAGTTTGATGTTGGCTGTTGGTTTACTGTATATAGCTTTTATTATGTTTAAGTATGTTCCTGTTATCCCAGTTCTCTCCAAGGTTGTGTTGGATTTTGTCAAAGGCTTTTTCAGCATCTAGTGAGATGATCATGTGTTTTTTGTTTTTCAGCTTGTTCATATGATGGATTACGCTGATGGATTTTCGTATGTAGAACCAACCCTGCATCCCTGGGATGAAACCTACTTGATCGTGGTGAATGATTGTTTGATGTGTTCTTGGATCATATTTGCCAGTATTTTATTGAGTATTTTTGCATCAATGTTCATGAGGGATATTGGTCTGAAGTTCTCTTTCTTAGTTGTGTCTTTGTGTGGCTTGGGGATCAAGGTTATTGAAGCTTCATAGAAAGAGTTTGGCAAAGACCCTTCTGCTTCTATTGTATGGAATACTTTGAGAAAAATTGGTATAAGCTGTTCTTTGAATTTCTGGTACAATTCTGCACTGAGGCCATCTGGACCTGGGCTTTTTTTGGTTAGGGGACTTTTGATGACTGCTTCTATTTCCATAGGGGTTATCGGTCTATTTAAATTGCTTATCTGTTCTTGATTTAATTTTGGCAAGTAATAGCTATCCAGGAATTCGCCCATTTCCTTTAAATTTTCAAATTTTGTGGAGTACAGGTTTTCAAAGTATGACCTGATGATTCTCTGAATTTCCTCAGGGTCCGTTGTTATGTCCCCCTTTTCATTTCTGATTTTGTTAATTTGCATGTTCACTCTCTGCTGTTCAGTAAGTTTGGACAAAGGTTTGTCTATCTTGTTGATTTTCTCAAAGAACCAACTCTTCGTTGCGTTGATTCTTTGTATTGTTTTCCTAGTTTCTACTTTATTGATTTCAGCCCTCAATTTGATTATTTCCTGGCATATACTCTTCCTGGGGAAGTTTGCTTCTTTGTGTTCTAGAGCTTTCAGCTGTGCTGTTAATTCTCTAGCATAACTATTCTCATGTTTCTTCATGTAGGCGCTTAGTGCTATGAACTTCCCCCGTAGCACTGCTTTCAAAGTGTTTGGGTATGTTGTGTCTTCATTCTCATTGAATTCTAGGAAGTCTTTAATTTCTTTTTTTATTTCTTCTTTGACCCAGGAATGGTGCAGTTGTGCATTATTCAATTTCCATGAGTTTGTAGGTTTTCTACAATTTGTGTTTTTGTTGAATTCTAATTTTAAAGCATGGTGGTCTGATAAGATGCATGGAGTTATTCCAATTTTTTGAAGCTGCTGAGGTTGGATATGTTGCCAAGTATGTGGTTGATTTTTGAGAAGCTTCCATGTGGTGGTGAGAAAAGGTATATTCTTTTTTTATGTGGATGAAATGTTCTATAGATGTCTGTTAATCCCAGTTGGGTCATTACTTCTATTAGACCTTTTGCTTCTTTGTTGAGTTTCTGTCTGGTATTCCTGTCTAGTGGGGAGAGTGGTGTGTTGAAATCTCCCACTATAACTGTGTGGGGCTTTATATGTGATTTAAGTTTTAGTAATCTTTCTTTTACGAATGTGGATGCCTTTGTATTTGGGGCATAGATGTTCAGGATAGACACTTCATCTTGGTGGATTTCGCCTGTGATGAGTATGTAATGACCTCCTTCATCTCTTTTGATTGATTTTATTTTAAAGTCTAATTTGTTAGATACTAGGATTGCTACCCCTGCTTGTTTCTTGGGTCCATTTGATTAGAAATTTTTTCCCAACTTTTAACTCTCAGGTAATGTCTGTCTTTGAGGGTGAGGTATGTTTCTTGTATGCAGCAGAAGGATGGGTTCTGTCTTCGAATCCATTCTGCTAGCCTGTGTCTTTTTATGGGTGAGTTAAGGCTATTAATGTTGAGGGATATTAATGACCATTTACTGCTCATTCTTCTTTGATTTGGAATGGTTGTTGTTGGTGGAATTATGTGTGGAATTTCATCCCATTGTTCTTTTGGCTGTTGGTAGAGAGGGATTCTCTAATGCCTATGTTTTTCTGGTTGTAGTTAACTTCCTTGGGTTGGATATTTCCTTCCAAAACTTTCTGTAGGGCTGGGCTAGTGGATACGTTTGCTTGAATCTAGTTTTGTCATGGAATATCTTGTTTTCTCCATCTATAGTGATTGAGAGCTTTTCCGGGTATAGTAGTCTGGGCTGGCATCCATGGTCTCTTAGTCTTGGTAGAATATCTATCCAGGACTTTCTGGCTTTCAGAGTTTCCATGGAGAAGTCAGGTGTAATTCTGATAGGACTGCCTTAATATGTTACTTGGCCTTTTTCCTTAGCTGCTCTTAATATTCTTTATTCTGTATTTTTGGGGTCTTGATTATTATGTGGCGAGGGGACTTTTTTGTGATCCACTCTATTTGGTGTTCTGTAAGCTTCTTGTACCTTCATTGGCATGTCTTTCTTAAGGTTGGGAAAGTTTTCTTCTATGATTTTGTTGAGTATGTTTTTCTGCCGCTTTGAGTTGGTTTTCTTCTCCTTCTTCTATACCTATTATTCTTAGGTTTGGTCTTTTCATGGTGTCCCATATTTCCTGGCTGTTTTGTGTTAAGGATTTGTTGGACTTAAGATTTTCTTTGGTTGAGGAATCCATTTCTCCTAGTGTATTTTCAACACCTGAGATTCTCTTTTCCATCTCTTGTATTCTGTTGGTAATGCTTGTATCGGTAGTACCTGACTGTTTGCCCAGCTTTTCTATTTCCTGCCTTTCTTCAGATTGTGTTTTTTTGTTGTCTCTATTTCAGTTTTCAAGCCTTGTACTGTTTGCATTGTTTCATGCAATTTTAAGTTTATCTTTTTGTCCATTTGTTGCCTTTTATGATTTTTTTGGTTTACTTTTTCTTCCTTTCTTGCATTTTTTGGTTTGCTTTTTCTTCC